CACCTGAGATGTTTGTGTACATGGATTGTACATCGAAACTCACCAACAGTTCCGACCCCACTAATCCAATCTTCTGGATACTTTGAGAAAATTCATATAAATTTTGTAACGGTATTCGAGAGTCTGTCATTTTCTTTCTTGAGCTTCAAGCAAATGAATTGGTCCATGCTTGTTGTTGACTATTAGTCTTAGTGGATTTCCTTCATTGTCTATCTTCGGTAGTCCGTAGGCTGTCGGTGGTCTTGCGTCATTTTTGATTAAATATTTTATCATCCATTTATCGATTTCCCCATTATTATGCATTTCCTTGAGCATATTCTTCATTCTTCTGTTGATCTTCATGCTTCCTTAGTATGCAATAAGTGTTCCGGTCGCCTAGGATACTTTCAATTTTCTCAATGTACTGTTTCCTGTCCATTATAACCATCGTTCCTCCATTATCCGCCTGAATAATTATTTGATCATTCTTTTGCTATTATTTCGGAATACGAGCCAATCTGTTCCTGTGTATCGGTTCTTGATGTGTCAGAATCCGTGGAATTATTTCCAGTTCAACCTCCCGCCTTGTCTCTTCTAGATACTTATCCGTTATGTTGACAACTTCCAACTGAATATCACTAAGAACGTTTCCTTTATTACCTAGTGAAAATGTAACTCCTTATTTAAGAGATTCGTAGTTTCAGAATTAAGAGGGATTGAAGATAGGTTTACTACCTTAGTCTTATCGTCGTCTGTAGCATTAGATGCGTTCAATACAAAACCATCAAAATTTGCCCGGGTTGGTTTGGTCTTGTGTTGTCTTATCATTCCATAGCTAAGCAATTTCTCTTCATGTTGCTTATTTATCAGATCCCGGACCCTCTCTGACTCTGGTCAGTCATGCTTTGGAGTTTTTGAAAATTATCAAAAGTGGGAACCCTACCTAGATACTTCTTTAATCTAGACTTGAGATCTATGAAGTTAATTAACTTATGCCTCTCAGTTTCGTAACTTTCATCTAATTTCTGGATGGAGGCGTGATAAAGTATTTCATTAACTGGGTCCGAATGATACTTCTTCATTAGATTGCAGAATCTGGGAGCGATACCATAATGTTTGCAACAATTCAAAATGGCCAAAGGCAGGATTGACTTACAATTGTCTTCTTTGTCCGTGCATTGTTTGACAATCTTACTTCCATATTTTAATCGAAGATATGAAGACCAAAATGGCGTGGCTTTTTGTGTAGTCTCCCTTCGTTGTATAGAGGTTATTTGACCTTGTTTTCGCAACTTGGTCATATTGGTTGGAAGGCTTAGAGGAACGCATCTAGTCCGGAGTCCATTGGATGCATGATAATTTCCAAAGTAGGAACGTAGACATGGTACATTCCCAGACGTTTCGCCGGTATCGTCAGTGAGTCTCGCTATTCTTAGCACCACACAATAACTCGTCAAATATATATATCTATTTATTTATTTGATATATAAGGATAATTTTTCCGAAGGCTTTAATTCTCCCTTTATGCGAAATAAGCAGTGAATGGATCAAGGGAAAACAGACAAGTTCTAGACATCTTTTGAGTATATAAACGTAAGTAGCCTGGAGTAAATGGTGATTGCTCTGAGAGCAATCTAAATACAGTTGTTGTGACATGTACAAACGAATCCTAAAATAGTAATTTAATTCATTTTGTAAAGAAATGTTTACGGATGTTTAAACTAGTTATGAGATAAATAAACAAGGAAATAAAATTGACTACGATATGGTAGAGCGAAAATCAATATGAACTGTGCCACCTGACTACACCACGCTCAAAGTGGGTCAAGGATAGCCTAGCTTGATTTTGTTATACAGAGCGGGCTCAGATCAATAGATCTGTATTGCTAGGACTGACCTAAACGAACTATAGCATTTTAATATCTCTTTAAATTGGATAAACAACAATGTTCTAGTTTACTCAGACCTATCAATCTCGACCAATGTAAATTGCATGCATATGCCGATGGGTCAATGGCGAAATGCTAGTATAATGCTTACCCTCCAGGCGCATCAACGTTTGGCAAGACGCGGAACTGAGTGCCGCCGACGGCCAGAATGCAGGCCTGTGGGGGACTAATGACGGCACTGAAAGCACTGATGCCGAACATGCCCAAATTGGAGATGGTAAAAGTGCCAACCTAAAGACAAAAATTACACAAGTTAGGAAGAAAGACTAGTAGAACAAGTGAAAATATTAGGAAAATTCCTGCGAACACATGGAAGGATCTTAGAGTATAATTGGAAAGGACATTCAGGTCCACAGGGCGATGCAGGATAGAAATAGCACAATACTGGCTAGGTAAAAGATAAGAAGACCAATATGGTGCGGGTTTCTGTTTGGTCACAGACTCCTTTAGCTTTATAGTGCTGGTTTGACCTTGTTTTCGCAACTTGGTGAGACACAGGACTAAGTACGTCTCAGGTCTCTCTGACCATGATGCCGTCATATATTCACCATATTTCGTGATAATAAACTGGTAGTTGAATTTTCCCACAATGATATGAGTAGAGCTTGCTTCTCAAAAGATGTCCTCATCCAGGGTGGACTGCAGTATCGACCATGTCTAGGTCTTATCAACGCTCTCAGGGAGACTCGAACCATGTTGTGCCCTCTATTTTGATCGCATCCTCCTCGCGATGTATAGAAGTGATCTGATTGCGTTTTCGCAGCTTGTCCATGCTGTCAAGGAGATCTAGATGGACGCACCTTGCCCATCCCTGAGTAAATCCATGTACTATGAGCCAATTATCTTAGATCTTTATTTTCTGGCCCATGAGGAAGAAAATATAATGGCGAAACAGGGATAAAAATCGGCATACGAATAAAATACATCAAAAACTATGCAGGAAAGTGGATAGTGAAAGAACGAATATAGCAGAACATATCACAAAGACTGGTAACGAGATCAATTGGAAGGCAACATAAAGAAGGCCTTCCTATGGTGAAAAACGGAAGATAAGGGAGACCATTGACATCCTCGGGTAAAAAGATTTAATGAATAGAGGATTGAAAGAAGGCAGAATTAGTGATAACTTCGCCTATTGCCTAATCAAACGAAGAAAACAAGGATACAAGACAAGAAAAAAGGAGACGCTTAGATTAAGGATCTATCGTAAACCAGAGGAAAAGGGATCGCAGGGAAGAAGAGGATGAGGAAGTTTCGGAAAAAAAGTGAAGACATTCTTAGTGAGTGTAGTCTGCTCGAAGAAATAACTACAAGTTTGGGGCATGACAGGCACGTGGCTAAGGAGACAGATAATAACAACCGTCGAAGAAATTCAGCATTATAGGCAACTTGACTAATAATTCTCTCGAGATGCAGCAGGCAACCAAAGATAGGTGTTCGAAGTTTAATGGAAGATAAGAAGACCAAGATGGCATGACCATTTGTATGGTCGCAGTCACCTTTCGTTAATTAGAAGTTGTTTTCTTAACTTTGTCATATTAGCAGAAAGACCTAGAAGGGACCTTGTCTGCATGACAATTTCCATAGTCTGATCGTGAATCTGGAACATTCTCAGACGTTTTGCCGGCATCTTCAGTGAGTTTTGCCAGTCTCAGCACCACACTAAAACTCGTCAAATGGACAAGTGAAGCCGATCCTTTGACCAAATGTGTGCTAAATAAAGGTGATATCTCTCCTTCTGTCCTGTGCTATTCAACTATCATATATTCTCGTATCACACCTTCACTATTACAATTCTCTCCTTGCTTATTTAAATGTAATGCGATGTCCCCTTTTGAGCGGCTTTCATGAGAACCCTCAACTTCAAGCTGACATTCTCACCCCTCCTTCCATATGTCATATCAGAGTCTCCCTCTTGCCTCATCTTCTATCTCCCTGGTTCAAGTATTTCATTCGACCCCTGCCACCCCATCTGTGCTCCACGAGGCGTTATTTTCCACACTCTGCCTCTGGGAGAGTAACTTGAGGCTAAAGAGCCCGAGTAATTCTCATGGTCAAGCATTTGCTTCATGGACCACGTCTATGGTAAAATAGGCCTATTATTGGCCTACTAACTTTGGTCTCTGCCGCGTCTATCCTGTTTCTATCCCTAATACCATGTATATTATGTCTTATGCCCTAGTTTGTTGTGTGCCAACCCACAAATATTATGGCACTGCTTGTTTTGATTGTGGTTCAACATTAAACCTAATCAAAGCAAGCAGTACCACAACATTAGTGGGTTGTAAAACAAGAGACTAAGGCATAAGACGTAATAGACATGGTATTAGGGATAGAAACAGAATAGACGCTGCGGAGACCAGATCTAGTTAATTGACAGTAGGCTTATCTTACCATAAGC